CTCTACCCAGGGGGACAGCTTGAGGCTCTGTCTCAAAAAAATAAATAAATAAATTGCTAAGAATCAAGTTCATAACATACACCAGTAAAATCCTTTGTGCTTTGCTTAAGTTCTACCAAAAAAATTCTATCTGATGACTTTAGTTCAAAGAATACAGAGCACGCAGCTGCCTAATAATGGCCACAGCCTCACTGCCTCCTTCTAAGAAAAGTGCACTTAAGATACACTTTCTTTCACATCAAGTTTTCCTATGTACCACCACTGATAGTATGTTTTTTCATTTTTTTTCCTAAAACACTGATGACAAAATTTTAATGAGGCACAGAAACTCTTTGGACTACCTAGGAATTTCTCTACTTTTGCTAAATAATATTCCCTTAAATTATAATTAGACATAACCAAGATTCTACCAAAAAAGGAAGCCACAAATTTAACTTTCCTCGTAAATATCTTCCATGATTTTCTAAGGCTGGAAGATGATTACAGTTAATAAGGCTACTTCTGAAAATCTAAAATTATTTGTGAGAAAAATTAGCAGTGAGAGCTTTAAAATGATAAAATGAAGACATCTAGTGCCTCTTACAAAGCTTGCCACTTTAATATCTTTCTTTAGTTAACTACAAATGTCACTATTCCTACTTAATAACCATCAATAAGTAAATTAAACTGGGGAGAAACTATACATGTGTGAAGTTGTTTGCTGTGTCTTCCTAGAAAGATAAGCAAGGAGGAGGAAATGGTTTTACCTTCTCTTCTTTGAGTCCATCGGTCAGTGAGAACACTCCATTACCAAATCATTTCCTCTTTGCAAAAAGTATATCAAGACCTAAATGGTAAAAAATCAAGGTAAAAACAAAAAGCAGCAAAATATTTTATCCCTTAGATTTATAAATAAATAAAAAAGCCCTCTCACAAGTGTACATTCACTGGGAAATAAATATGCAGTAAAACTATTTAAACTATTTCATATCTTGCCTGCTACAGTCAAACATGTAGGCCAAGCCTGCCCACAAAGCTTATAAAAATGCCACTTGACTGTCAAATGTAATGTCAGAGGAAGAAAAGACTAGGGACAATTAAGCTGTACCTTTTCAGGCAAAAGATTTTTGTTCGCTTGTTATTATAAAGGAAAAAGTTCAACCTAAAAAAATCAATGTGTTAAATACAAAAGTTATGTACACATTAAGATTATTTTTTAAAAAATGATTTGTCTGCAGTACATAAAGATTTAAATACCAATTAACTAAGATTGCCTAAAAATCTCTTTAGTAATGTATCGGATTCAAGTAGTTTCAATTTACACTTTTCACTAATGTACAAAAATATTATATCATTAAAACAGAAAGTTTTCCATTTATTGAAAAATAAATAAATAAAATATTTTCCCCAAATCTCAATTCAAGACAAACCTGCCTTATAATCCAAAAGGCTGAACAAAATAAGTTTGAATTTTAAATTACCTGTTTTAAAATCCACCATTTAATAGAAAAGAATAGCATGAAAATTATGGTACAAATATCATGGCCCATCAGTTTAGAAACTCAATGTTTAACAAAAAAGAGATGGAAAAATAAACAAGCAGACAGAAATGCTCAACTCAGAAGTTCATATTTTAAAAGGTACCAAAACCCATGCCATGAGGTGCCAAAACAAAAGCCATAAAGTACTGGGGCCAAATTTGTGATTTTTCTGCAAAAGGATATGACATGGTCACTGTGTTCTGGAAACAGCCCATACTGGCAGGAGTGACCTAGGATCCATCTGTTTCCTCCAGGTTGCCTGTGAATTCTTACCGTTTCCCATCTGTATATCTGAAGGAAATTACTTTCTACCTAATGCTTATTTTGAAAAGATTTTGAATCATTCTAAGTTGGAAGAAGGGTGCTATGGAAACAAAAGATATACCTGAATAAGTCAACAAATGCTATTAATTTAATAGATACAATTATTAACTGCTACTATGCTTTATGAGTGATTAGTAAGTAACTTTTAGTAAAATGTATAGTTCCTGGTGTACAGGGAAATTCTAAATCCAGACCTACTCTATGCTTATCTATGGGAGATCAAGGAGTTACTGTACCCCTGATTAAATTTCAACAATACCCGACGGAAGCCAGGGAAGTCCTCTGGGAGAATACGGAATTACACAAGCACAGCCCACTTCACACAACTGGTTCACTGTATGTAAACACTTTGTCCTGTGCATGACAATCAAAAATGTTGAGAATCTTCGGGTAAAATGAATGAAGCAGTTAATCTTTATTCTCTTTTACCTAAATTTTTTTTATTTAGATATGTGAACAGTTGTGTTCTTAAAATTAAGTAAATCTTACTCCTTGTTTGTCACTACAACTTTTTTTTAAAAAACCCAAATGGAATTCAAACTCTACAAACTGTTTTATAACTTTCTTTTCTATACTTACTATAATATACAGTATATGTTAGGCAGAATCATGGTCTCCAAAGATATCCAGGTCCTAATGCCCAGAACCTGTAAATGTGTTAGGTTGTGATCAGCTGTTCTTAAGATGGGGGGATTTTCCTGGTTATCCAGGTGGACCCAACATAATCTTAATCATCCTTAAAAGTGGAAGAAGAAAGCAGAAGGGTCAGTGAAAGATACAATGATGGAGGGAGGGTCAGAGAGATGCTACATTGAAGTTGAAAACAGAAGAAGGTAGCCATCAATCAAGGAATGAAGAGTAAGGCCAGGCCTGGTGCCTGTAATCCCAGCCCTCTGGGAGACTGAGGCGGGAGGACTGCTTGAGCTCAGAAGATTGAGACCAGCCAGAGGTAGAGTGAGACCACATGGCTACAAAACAGGGGGGAAAAAAAATCAGCTACTCAAGAGGCTGAGGGAGGAGGATGGTTGGAACCCAGGACTTTGAGGTTGCCGTAAGCCAGGCTGTTGCCATGGCACCTTAGCCTGGGGCAACAGAGTAAGCCTCTAGCCTCAAAAAGAATAGGGGTATGGGTGGAATCCACAAGCTGAAAAAGGACAGGGAAAGAACTCTCTCCTAGAGCCACCAGAAAAAAGTCTAGCCATGCAGACCCCTTGATTTTATCTACAAAACCTATGTCAGACTTTTAACCTACAGAACTCTCATGCGTTTGTGGTATTTTAAGCCACTAAGTTTGTAGCAATGTTTTACAGCTGCAGTGGAGAAGTTATATACCCAGGTGCTAATTAAAATAAAACTAATATACTATTTCATAGACATCTTTCTGTATCAGTATTTCTAGGCCCACCTCATTTTGTTTTAATGGTGTTTAATATGTTAACTTCTTTCAAGCAGACACACTGCCTGAAACTCACACAGGGTAATGAGAAAAAGAGAAATGACTGCTGAGGAAACAAAACTAAAAAGGAATACTGAGCTAAACATGGGAAGCTTAGGTTACAAAGATTTACCCTCACATACTGACACAAGAGTGGCATTTACTAACGCCATTTAACGTAAAACTCTTTCTCAACTATGTATCCATAACAAAAAAAAGCAAAACTTTGTCTTTCTACTATTGTTATGACTGCCTCTCCACGAAATCTGTTAAGACTTGCTGCAACTATTCAAATAGCATTTAAACTTATGTTCTTTCATTGTTTTACATTTTAAATTGCTATAAAATTGCCTAATCATGAGCCTTCCTTGGAGATATTTTTCTCCAGGTGAGCTTTAAGGTGCTTACTCCACATTCCTTTGGAGAGTGGGAGCTTTGTACTCCGCTGCTTTTCTTCTGTTATGGTAACTTTCCTCCATAGCCTGGTATTACATTAACCAGCTCCGATAAAGCAGCTGTGTGATGTTGTATAAACAGCACTTACTGTGGGGCCCTCTCTCGCCTGCCTCGCATGGCCCCTCTACTGATCAATGGCATCTCTGTAAAATGAGCAAACCAGATTCCAGCATTTCCTCCAGCTATTAAGTTCTAGGAGCCACAAAACAAAGCTAGAGTCACTTTAAAGTATAACACTTTGTACTTCAAATTAGCATCTTCTTCTTGTTGAAATGTAAAGTAATTAAACACTCAGAAGCCCTTTTAAAACAAAAAGCAAACCTTGATTCTTAATGAATCTAGGCCCCTTTTAGGTCCCACTGGATACACACCCTTCTGCTGCATTGAACGGAGATAAACTGTCTGGGACAAGCCAAGGGTACTGTTTAAACATCAAGAAGAGCTATAAACCATCTACAGGTGTACAATACATTAACCAGAAATCCAAAATCTAAAAAGTCTTAAAAACTAAAAGAAAAAAAGAACTTTAAAATCTAATTTGAGCTGAATGCAACTGATAGCAAAATCAGACCTTTTAGTATGAATATTTGTATATCTTGCTATAGAAACATTAGTATAAATATATGGTCATACCACCAGATACCACAGGGAATGTTAGATAACATATGGTTTATGTACCTTATTCTAAAAAGAAAAATTAATCTAAATCCCAAAACATAATCCGCCCCAAGCATTTTAAATAAGAGAGTAGGAACCTAAAAAATAACAATTATTTTGTGGTATAAGTTCCCCTCAACTTTTAACTATTTCACACTTAGTTTATTTTATACACTTTTAACAGTGATTTCACTTTGGAGAGGACACCAAGTTACACAGTTTATAGTGGGATTCTATGGATGCTTTAATAAATTTTTGACAATGATTTACTTCTGTTTCAAAAGTTTTAAGCCAATTTTGTGGTGAACATACTCATATACACCATTCAAATTAATTTTCTGAGGAATATCTTGCCTGTGAGTACTCCCTGGCTTATCTTCCCGGTGTAGGAGGGCTGGGCACTTTAATTTCACACGAGGCAGTCAATTTGGTGAATAAGAAAGAGCTGAATGAATGAGAGAAATGCTTCAGGGGCAGAACTACTAGTACTGATTCCACACAACTGGGGGATAGAGGGGGTGGCTGTGTTAGTGCTTCCATTTACTGAAATGGAGAAGAAGAGTGAGGAAGACAGGATTAGAAATGAAAGGTAAGATTCTGGGAAGATAAGATTTGTTGTTGGCTCTCCGGCTAAGCCGCTTTCCACATACACCAGAGCTGGCGGTTCGAACTTGGCCTGGACCTGCCAAACAAGAACTACAACTACAACCAAAAAACAGCCGGGCATTGTGATGGGTGCCTGTACTCCCAGCTACTTGGGAGGCTGAGACAAGAGAATCACTTAAGTCCAGGAGTTGGATGTTGCTGTGAGCTGTGATGCCACAGCACTCTACCCAGGGCGACAACTTGAGGCTCTGTCTCAAAAAAAGAAAGAACAGAAAAGATTTGTTGTTTATGGTAAGTTAAAGATGCCCGTGAGAAACCCAAGAATACATATCAAGTGCGCAACTGCAATATGATAAGCATGGAGTTCAGAAGAAAGATCTCAGCTGTTGATACAAACTCGGGAAGGCATAC